TTAGGAAGGACTGTTGTATTATTTTTTCAAAGTGAATTATTTTGCTTATTTAGATGTCAGAATTTTTATTTTCTTTGTCATTCGTTAATTTGCTAATTAGTGCTTTTCACTAACCTCAACGACTTTGCCATTCCTCTTTCCTATTGGTTCATTACTGTTATTATTTGTGCGTAATTTTACTATTTCGACCATTTTTTTATCGCAATGAAGTTGAGTAGTCAAATAATTTGTAATGCTGTATAATGATGCAAAACTGAGCTTATTGATTTGTCGTTTTAATCAATTATTTTCCCAAACGATACAGAACGATTTCAATATTGATAATCAGAAACTTTTACTTTATATACCTTCCAACGTGTTCTACTTCTCAAATCGTATAGAAAGGCCTTTAATTACTGAGAAATTTAAAATCTATTAGATTATTAAAAGTATTTTTACAACAATATAACGTTGTCAAATGAGAACAAAATGCTTGACTGTTTCGAGAAGTTCCTGAGCTGCACTTACCCGAGTTTAAACCCCCTCAAGTAGGAAAATCGTAGAACTTCTATAAATTGTTATATTGCAACAATTAGAAACTGAAGTTCTTTGAAGTTTCAAGGGATTCAAATAAACTCAATTTAAGATGTTAACGGTCTAAAACATCGAGTCGATAAAAGAGCCGAAATTGCAGCAATGCATTTAGATCTCGATTTTACTTTACTCATGATGCCAAACATCACACATTCCATTTTTGATTCAAAAAAACCCGATCTTCAAGATCGGCAAAATAACGGTAAGCAGGACTTCCTAATATCCATTTTAAAGGATGTTTTTCAATAATAATATTACAAAATACTGAAAAATTCTGTTTGGTGTCTCTAAATAATGAAAATATTCATTTATATATTTTTGATTTGCTAACTTTGGAACAAAGTTTAGCTAATCCAATAGCAGGTAATAAACATAAGGCAACTTACGGAAACGATTTGAACTTGATTTATAAATAAAATTCAAAATCAAATAAATTCAGGATCGAAGTTGGCATCGCTATTGACGTTAAATTTATTCTTAATTGTTTGATCATTCATTATTATCTAAAGTAAAAACGCGCGGCTTTCATATTTGAAGATATTTATTATCATTCATTGAAACAAATTACGAATAATATGTTTTTGCTTGAAAATGGAACAGAAAATCATTTCCAGACTTTAGCATAACCATTTTTGCGATAGTTAATAAACCTGTTTCTTTTTTCAACTTTCCATTTTATAACAACTTACAATACAATTGCTTAGCTGGATTATAGACCTTCAATTTATATCCTTATTCGTGCCTTTGATAAATCGGAGTATACCATAATTGATGAAGCTTATTCGAAAATTTCAAAACTTTTTATAGAGCTAATATGCATTTTAATTTAGCTAAAGCTACTAATACCTGCGCCATTTAATTCAAATGTTTGTGATGCTTCATGTAAACCATGTTGCAATAATTGAAGCATGGACTTATTATTCAAAATTAAAAAGCACATTGGTACGCAGATTATCGGCAAATTATGGGTGCTTAAAATAGCTACGCACGTTTGGCGTGATTAGTCTCAAGGTCGCAATACTGGCGTTAATTCATTTCTCGAACTTAATATATGTATCAATTAAATTAATTTCACATAAAATTTCCACTCATTGAAGCGGTTCATATGATCAGCCTTTAATAAAGATGGTAAATATTTTAATTTCAATTAATTTAAAGCGTAGATAAAGCCGAGAGGAAACGATTTGTTGAGTAAGGAGGGTTTGATTGGTAACAGAGTAGATTATTGATATTACACTATAGAGACTCACGACAATTCGCTCTGTTTTTTACTTAAGTTCTGGATCTGCTGGCAAATTTGATGATGGAAACATGACTCTTTAAATATCCCTTCTTTTATGAGACTGAAAATATTCGGAAGCCCTTGTTGATAGCAATTAAGCAATTTAAGTTTTGACGGCTTGACTGAACGAAATGTTACATTGGCGACTTGATCACATTGACTTTTCGTAATCTTTCTTACCAAATTTGCATAGAATCTGATATCTCAAAAGAAGTTTTAGGAAAAAATAAGTGGAAGGAGTTTTAATGCCCTCCAGTGGCAATGCTTCATTTGCTGAATGCGATGAGGTAGCTATTTACTATCCTTGACAAAGTGGAAATGGCTTCTCATAAAGTAAGGAGTGATATTAAATTTTTTCCACTCAGAAACTCTTAGCAATACTAACAAAAGACGGTTGGGGAAGAATGACTGATTTTGGCTGATTTTTGAGAACAACCAAAGCTGAGTCGATTCTTACGATTTTATGACTTTAAATATGCCAAGAGATGCAGCATTCTAACTGTCATAAATGTAATTGTACTTAAATCTCTGGAATCTTGTTGGTTTTGGTATTTTCAGCTTTTTTCAGAGGGGAAGAATGAAGTCATATTTGTCCCCCACAATCAACAAAACTGACAGAAGTGGGTTAATCGAGGAACGTTGGGGAAAGACACAAAAGTGAAATGAAAATTTAATCCGCTCTATAAAAACCTGTCATTTAACATCTTGAACCTCTCCATAAAATATTCAAGCAGTTCAAATGATAGCTATCCGCATATAACACTCAGAGCAATGAGCAAAATACCACTTTCAATTGTCATCATAAGAGTATTTCTGACTTGAATGATGGAATTTTTGGTAAAATAAAAAGACCCTACTTCCTATGAGGTTATGAAATTTAGCTAGATTGAATCGGTTTTAAGCCAATTTGAAATACGTCTTATTAATTACCTAGTAAGCTGTTTGCTTAGAAATTGGCAGCCTTTCGTATCCGTTCTAGCAGACCGAGTCAACTTATTGCATTTCGTTAGCATAAAAGGTGATCCAGTGAAACAGATAGCCTATGTCGTAAAGTCTTCTATTCTGAAGAGTGACAGAAAAGATTACTCATGGTCACTCACGAGAGTTTCAAAATTTCATGTATGCAGAAGCAAAGACGGTAGTTTTATAGTGATAAATGATAAAATAATGTTTTTTTTTCTTTCAGATAATTCGATTAAGACGACGCATGAGGAAACTAATTTTGTTGAAGGAGGTAAATTTGTTGGTATAACTTATAATGAGAGTAAATAATCAAATTCGAAATTGACTTAATTAATGTGCATGCAATAAATGGTCTTAGGAAATTTAGCAGCAAAAGCTAAGTGATATTCGAAAGAGAATCGGGTAAGCCTAAAATAGCCAATATCTGGAAGAATAAAAAGCTTTGAAATATATATAGTAAATAATGCATTCAATCTACCCTGAAAACCTTTCACAAATCTCGGTGCCAGAATTACCAATATATCTTTCAAGTCTTCCAGAACTAGCTAAGCTACAGCTCCAATATAGAGGAAACAGACATATCCCACGGAATGCGTTTATTTAAGATGGATAGTGTGTTAAATGTGTACTTGTCGAAAGGTTAGTTATAATCAACATGGCTGGATGGAGGAACAATTGAAGGCTTCTGATTGGCCATTATGTGTGTGCGCGAGCAACTTCTTGTTGTGTGATGGCGTATACAACAGGAGGAAGAAACATGAGACTCCAATTACGAAACACGAAGCACCTCATAGAAGTGAGAAATATTCTACAAATCAAGTCTTAATTGCAAATTCGCTTAAATTGCCCTTAACCCTGTGTTAAAAATTCACTTATTGGTCAACTTTATTTGCCAAATGTAAATTCGAATCTAAGCACAAAGCTTAACATTGCAACAATGCCAAATGGAGCTTATTACCGTGTATGTGAGATGAATATTTTTGTGTAACGTACTGATGTAGTCAAAGTAATATTTAATTTCTATTGGTTTGGCATTGTTATGAGTGATTGTACCATTTGTTTAATCCGATCATAAAGAACCTTCATTGCCTACGAGAAGTTGTAAGTTAATATTTCAAAGTTAAGTTGACACAAATTTTTAAACGTAATTTATTGGTAACCTTTCCTTAATATTAATCTATAATTTCATTACCTGAATTGCAAAATATTTGTCATGAAATTACAGCAAAGCGAAATAGAGCTCATAACTCATGTAAGTGATATGAATATTGTTGACTAATGTAATAATGTAATCAAAATTGAATTAAATTTCCATTGGTTTTGCTGTTGCTAAATGTGTTTATACTACTTGCTTAATCAGCGTATCTCCAACCTATGGGACACAAAAATAAAGGTAAGTTTATACTTCGAACCTACTTTGACACAAATTTCTAAACAAACATTTATTTATTTATACTTATTTAATTATTAATAATGATTTAAAATAAATACTAATTATTTATTAATAATTTTATTGCCTGAAGTGTGATATATTTGTCTTAAAAGGATGGAATGGTGGGAACACTTATATTTACTTGTATTTTCCTAGGAATGCCTAAAAGAAAGCTAGACGACCTCTGGACAGCAGCTTACTATGGCGATATAAAGGAATTTCCTGATGACAAAGATGACAACAAGGAGGGATGGAGAATTTATTCCAGAGAAGGAGGAGGGTTAATTTTAAAGAATGGCATTTATGGTAAATCCTATGAAGTTACCATTGGAGATCAATACGAAGTGTCTCTTGGGCATGATGAAGGAGAAGTGTGTAGAGGAACATTACTTTCTGAATTAATGCGGGACGTGGTTGAGGTAGGTTTGGCATTCTCTTAGTGAACTTATCTTTCTTTAGAAAACTGGTGTTAAAGCAGCAAGACATAGGAATGGTGCTACGTTGATTAATAAACGCGATTTAATGCACTTCGTAGAAGCTTTCCTTCTAAAAGACGATGAAATACCAAGAGAGGTTGGGGAAGAAGGTGGAAAAATTCTTGGCAAGGGAGAATTTGGAGACGTTGTACTTAGAGAATTCCGCACTTCTGTGAGTTTTCAATTTTTTCCGTTCTCTATACAAGTACCCACATACATATGATAAACAAAAAACAACTTTTTCGAAGTTTTGTTTTTGTTTATTCTTCTCATCTGATTTTATAAATACAATGCAGTGAATAATGAGGACATGGTCGGAGTCGTGACGGCTTGTCAATTAATTAGAAAGACTGAGTTGATCTCCTAGGTGACACGTTTATCCAGATCCGAACATATATAGCTTTGTAAATTGCAATAAATTTTATAGGCAGGTAGACGCCCTTGAGGCAACCAATCAAGCTCAAATCGACTTGTCTCGAAGTAATTTATTGACGTGTTTCATCATTTATGGCTCGATTACCACATGATAGCGTCCAATGAATCTATTTAACACCAAGGAAAAATCCGTATCACACGAACAATTTCAGTTGTTGGTTTATTTAGAAACATCTTATTCTACTAAGCTTTGGATATTGCCGGTCACCTATGATGTAATTTGAAGTGGGCTTCATATCAGGACACTAAGGCAAAAGGCCAATAAACAGGGATCCAGTGCACTAGAGAAGGTATTGTGGAAGTCGATTTGAAGCATTCAATAATAGCTTTTTCAGTTTCAATTAGGGCAAAGAGTAATTACCAATAAAGACATTAATATCGGAATTTTCCTGCGATTCCCCATTGAAGTGTCCAAAGAGTTTGGTTATTTATGAAGAGTGTTAGAAATCTGTCAGGTTGCACTGCTCTTCAAATGATTGGCATAAAAGAGATTGGTAGGGTGGAGAGGTGTGGGAGGGGGGAAGGGGAGGGGGGGGGG